GTGATCGCGGGCGCTCGCCGTGCGTTATCGATCGAGAAAAAGATGGCGAGCCCGTGTCGCACTCCGGTAAACCTCCGGCCGTGTTGTTGGTTTTGGTGCGGGCGGCTTGTGCGCGTCTCTTCTGCGGATCTTCGTCGTCGACGCCGTGCTGTGTTCGCGACGCCCCAGTGTTCGGGTTTATGAAGCGCGCGCGCTGTTCTGTCGACCGTCATTTCCAAAGTTCCCTTTTTCAAGATCGTGGTGACCTCCCGCGGCGACGTGCACTTTTTTTTTTTTATTGGCGGACCGCCTGTCTGTGTCTTGTGCTCCCCGATTCGGAGGAATTGTGTCGCGGAATATTTTTTGCCTTATTTTTCCCGAGCTTCACTCGTTCGTTGCTTGCCCCTTCGCCGCTCACTCTATATTTCCATTCTCCCAAAGGACCTTTTTTTTCCCTGAAGGATTTTAAGAATGCGTAGCTGCAAGATGCGTGAATAGTGGTATCCTTTACGGACGAGGGCAGTGTTTCCAAATTTCGCTGGGCCTTTTCTTTCCAATTTCCCCCCATCTGCCCTCTCTATACTCTTGCTGCCATGTTGTGGAATAGGGATGGTGTTCTTCATTTAATAAATCCTCCGTCAGGCAGGGATAACCCTAGAGTTTGATTCGCGCATTTAATGAATACGCCGGCCACCGATGACGCCATCCCCGAATATGGGACGTGGCCGATAGCCATTGCTCGCTTTATTCTCCGCGCCGCTTTCATTTTATACTCGCCTTCATAAAGAGAACGTACTCGAAGGCGAAGTTCGTAGTAGCCGGCAGAGTAGTTATTCCTCCTTTTGTACATACCTCGAGTTGTTTGCTTCTTTTTACCTTGATTGGTCGCCGATCCAGTCTGCCTTAATGGGGTATATATTCGGTCATTTCTCGGTGTTTCGAGGGCGAGCGGTCTATACAAAACGAACTAGCGTTGCTCTGAGCATACACTGCAGTGTAGACTGACGTGTAGTCTCCTCTTAAACTGTCGGGTGTAGAGAATGCGAGTGAGCTGTCAAATCTGCAAGTGGTGCTGACAACCTTGCGGAGGGCATGAGTTGACGCGAAGTGCGGCGAATGGCTTCGTAACCGCACGATGCGCCGAGTTGCCGCAGCTACAAATAATTCGCTTACGTAAATCGAAGATGACCTTTTCTCGTGTTAGCGCGTGTTGCAGAGCTCACGAGCTCGGTATGTTGGACGTTAACGATCGTCTTCGTATGTGAATCGGCTGATTATGCGTTTACATGCTTCGTTGGCTGGGTACTCCGCGAAAGGGCCTCGTTAGTGTCAGCGCGTGGTACGTCGAGGTAAGTTTTATGCACGAAAAGGGGTATCTAACGAAAAATACAGTCAAATCTAGAGGTAAATCGCGAGAAATTACTTTGTATAGATTATTTGGAGTGTAAAGTATTTGTATACTAAAATTTAATCAAGGGGATGTCACAACCGGTCGATATATACAATTCGTTGTAGCTGGCTACAGCTATACAATTCGCTGTATGCGGATTCAACTGTACTACGTGCGCCGGTGGCCGTATCGTAGAAGTAGTTCTCTTCCCAATGAACTCGTGCTTCGGCTGTCGGCCGTGGGCTGATAGTGTCACGAATATGCGATTATTATTCGATTCCATTGCGAGTTCTGACAAAACTAGGGTACAATCTACAGTTCGCAATATCCAGCTTCATTTAAAGCGGTGCTACGGCCCGTTGTACGTTTTTTAAAGTTTGTTTGACGCGTGATAACCGCGTTTCTCATGCGTGATCTGCTCGATTATGTCGACAAATTAAAATGCAAAGCGGGATTTTGTTGGTAGATGGGGTGCCGCAACGCGCGTTTACGATTTGCAAGCGGCTCTTCAAACAGCAGGAAGCTTCGCCTGTAAATGGCGCTTCGCCGCAGGGGTGGTGTTGTTGCGGCGAAGCGGCGTGTGAAGGCAAAACTTGTTGTGCGGTGAAGCCACACTGGGAAAGGTGGTACACGCTCGGCGCGATTCTGAAACGGCAAATATTTTAAGCGGAGCTTGTTTTAACTCTCCTGATTGCGGTGGCGGTCGTACGCGATAAACCCGGCCCCGGCGAGCGTGGACAAACGCGGTCCGCTGGTCACGTGTGTATCTTGTGCGTGCCGTTTCTTGACAGGTGCCCTTTTCATCGCGCGCTTGTCTGATAGATTGGCCAATGGCCTGTCTGATCTTTTATCGAGGTGGACTGGTCATTTCACATTGCCCCATTCCGTTCTTGCGTAGATGTGAATGCGAGGCTATTGTTGTTGCCTGTAATGACGGAAGTGTGGTTCTGCTAGGCACGTGGATGAAGGTCCAATCCGCAGCATCGATGAAGGAAACAGGAGGGCGCATTGCTTGATGTGATAGAGAGTGGCCTTTTAGGCGCGTGAATGCGAAGCTTTGCCTGCCCCCCATTTTCCCCCGTCAAACTAGAGCTACTAAACATTTTGAATTATCCGTTTATCTTTCACGAGTACATTGTTTAGAGACATCTATTGTACGGTTGGCAGCACTTGCAGGATTTACAATCCTACGTTAGGCTCACATGCTGGCTAGGGGTACACGCGTGAATAGGCGATACAAACGGTTTATGCTCTGGACGACAATTGTGCGATGGCACTTTGTCGTCCAGAGTAGACAGAGGTAGTAGTATTAACAAGAAAGTTTATCATTTGGGAAAGTTGATCTGCTTACGGGAACTGCTCAAGACCTGCTTAGCAACAGTATGTAACAAGCATATCAGGACCGTTTTTTTCTTTGTGAACACATAGAAGATTGTGCCTGGTCTTTGTTGTCAGTGCATCTGATGGGCTGAAGCCGGGACATTTTGAAAGTATAACACAACCATAAGGTATTATGGCATATAGCAACTGAAAAGAAGTTTGGCAAGTAGCAGTACTTCTCATTACCATTATCCATATCTATAAGGGGCAACGGAACAGTGACATTACAGCTTGTGCGATACATCGGTTCACTGTGCTTTGTATATGGAACTATTATACATGCTCTGTGCTCCAGTAAAACAGAAGTGGAAATATTCACATCACAGAAAACGAGCAGCAGCACCGAAATTGGCTTCTTCGCATTGTTCTTCTACTGACTTTTGTGGGACATTGCTTTGACTAATCACTATGGAAACCTTGTTACTACTATAACCCTACAGATAGCACGAAGTGGGGCAAACACTCTCTGCTGGTAACATTAAAAAGTGACAGTAATGTTAGGCTTCTTTTGTCTCTCGTAATTTTTGGCCGAGCAAGCTTAATGCAATCCATTTAAGTGGTACGGTTGGTATGATTTTCAGATTCTCTCAAAGTATTCATTAGCTGTCATGGCTTGGGAGTTTTTCTTCTGTTTGTGCTCTTTTGGTATCTCTTCACTACTATGTCAAGCACACAATTGAGCTTTGCAGAAAGGACGTGTAGGGATTTGGCAGCATAGCCAGGAAGTGGCACACGAAGGCGGTCTCCCTCTTCCCCGAAATGTTTTTTTATTTTGCCATGGCTTACAGACCCCAAAACCACATTTGACCACAGCTGCCTGCCTGGCCTCTACTTTTGCCCTTTCCCGAAAAAAATTTCTGAATATGCCCCTGCAGTGATAAGGCTGTAAGAAAAAAAAATGTTACGATAGAAAAAAACATTCTAGCAACCTTGAAAGCTTATGTTATTATTGCGTATCAATTATATGGACACTCCCCACTGAATTTTGCCACCGGCGTCGCCGTCGATATTAGCGTTGCTGTCACTCACCGTATATGAATACGTATCTATATATATATATATATGTAAACGTAAGAAAGAAAAATAAGAGAGAAAAAAGATTCCGGCACACGGAATCGAACGTTTGACCTCAGAGTCGTGAATGCGAGGCGTTAACCACTGAGCCACGGAGAAGCACCTCCTCCAACGTTTAAACGACACGCCATTTATATCTACTACTTACCACTGTTGAAGGGCATCTCGAGGGTAACTATCGTGTTTACGGCATTACCAACAAGATGGCACAATGAGCGCCCGTTGCCGCATCGTCACGACGCGGTGATGCACGCTCTCATCTTACCACGCGTACTTTGCCCCGTGGAGAAGAGGGGGGTCGACGCTCACTCGCTCGCCCTTATGTTGCAGTGGCGAGAATTGTACATCTTGGCTGGTGTTGGGCTTTCACTGGAACAATTTCGTTGTAGTTACCGGGTGCACAAAGGTCACTGCAATCAGTTGCACAGTCTTCGTTTGCAAAAAGGGTGCACTTTTCAGACGCAGCAAAGTAACAACTGAGATGCTTATTTGTGTTCATCTGTGCCTGTGAGTATGTTTCGTGCGTCATTTGTGCGTGAGAAACGCGGGGCATGTTTCGATCTGCTTGTCATTCTGCATGTGACCTTCCAATTTGTTGCTATCGCGTTCATTGCTTCACCTTTGCGGCAAATCCGTGACTTTTTTTCTTGCCATAACCTATAAGGCGCCTCTGAAGAAAAATCTGATCTACTTAATTGAAGAAACATTGCTAGGAGACACAGACGGCACTGACTTACAGCTATATTTTGTGTTTGCTTGTCGACATGTACGGGAAGAATACAACCAGTATACATCTAAGAAAATGTCATATCACGCTATACAATCATAAATCATTGTTTTGATAGCTAAATTATTTCTGTTTTTGTCGAGCAGTTGTAGCTATCAAAACTGGGACGACATTGTATATGGCAATATCGAGCTCACTGATACACACACACTCAAACTGTTCGTTTCTGTACATATTGGCATGCAAATGTGCGAATGCAATAAATTATGCGTTAGGCAGTTCTATATTTGTGTCCTCCCATCAAGTAAGACAAATCTGCAGAATTCCTGCCTCTGGAGCCAAGATGGGCTGCCCCCAGAGTACTATTTCTTCATTTAACATCGTTATTCAGCAACCAGCCCAATTCAAGATGACAATGCTGATCTTTTTCTTTTTTTTTTCTCCCTGCAGGGTAGTATTAGGAGATGAATTTCCTCAAAAAGAAAATCAAGGGCCACAAGCGAGGAGGCCCCGAGAGTGACGAGGTTGAAGCGGCCATCTATGCCAAGCAGCTAGCCGAGGGTCAGCAGCCACAGCAGCCGCCGCCAGAAGCCAAGGAGCGCACCGGCGAGGAGTGGCGCTTCTTTGAGCAGCTGACGCAGCGTGTCCAGGATACTGTGCAGAAGACCCAAACGACCCTAAGCAAGATAAAAGAGAGCTCTGCCATCACTGAACTCACTCGGCCCGACTACTACCTCGAACCGGCCGCCGCACCTCCCGAACCTGCCAGCCCGGCCAGGTCGTGGGTGAACTTTGAAGAGAGCGAGGGTGCAGAAGCACCGGGGCCACCGGCGGGGCCCTCAGAGCCATCTAACGAACCGGTTGGGGATCAGGTGAAGGACCTTGTGAGTGAGCCGGAAGTTGAACTTGTTAGCGAGCCAGTTTGTTCCCCGCCGGAAGCTCACGCGATCGGTGAGGAAGACCAGGCCAGGAAGCTCCTCGAAGAGTTTGGTTTTGGCATTGAGGAACCACCCGCACCTCCACCTTCAAACGCAGCCCACCTTGACCTGCTGAGTGGCTTTGGGGTCGAGGAACCACAGCCCTCTGAAGCCCTTCACGTAGACGTTAGTGACCCCTTTGACACGTCATTCGTTGACACACTTGCAACAAGCACTGAACCTGACCCCTTTGACACTTCGTTTGTGGACAGCTGCGTTGCTGCCAAGAAGGTACCACCTGTTGAAGCGAACGGCAGCGAAGCCAGCCCTGAAATGAGCAACCCATTTCTCACCGATGTGTCCGCGACGACCGGTGAAAGCCTCTTCAGCACTGGCGACACTGGTGACGTTGCACCCGACGTTCCCAACTTTTTTTCGAGTTCGCGCCGGTCGAGCACAAACCCTTTTGACAACCTCGAGGAAGACTTGGCATTCTTTCAGGCCACCTTGGTGGGCGCAGCGGAAGCAGACTCGACTCAGCGGGAAACTAGTGAGCTTTTGCAGGACATTGCGGCAACATTTCCATGCGACTACGAGGAAGCCACGCCCCAATCCTTTGAACGGGGATCCCTTTAAGTGCAGTGAAACTGAGCAGCAGCAGCCTATGCCTGACCTGTTTGCAGGTGAGCCTAAACTGGCAGGGGTGGTTCCAGATGCCTTCCAGTTAGCCTTTGGCAAGGCCAGCTTTGACAGAAGCCTGTCGCCCGACAAGTGCGGACTGTCGAGCGGTGCCTTCGTCGACACGTCTCCAGAAGAAGCCGGAGGCTCACCTGCTGAACCTGTCGGCTCGTTCGATCCTTTTTCGGACCTCAGCCGAGAAAGCCAAGAGCCCATTCCAGCTGCCCTGGCCAGCATCACACCAGAGAGAGAGGATGTTAGCCCATTCGAAATTGCACCCAGTGACAAACAGAAACAACCGGCTGCAACCGACGGCAAAGCCGAGCTGTTTGCAGACTTTGGAACCAACGAAGTGCCACCTGCGTCTGCAGAGTGCGATTTTTTCGGCAAAGATTCAGGTGCTTCTTCAGCTGTGATAGCTTCTGATGACCCGTTTTGTTCGGGCAGTGTTGCTTCTGCAGCAGTAAGTGGCGACCCATTCGATTCAAGCAGTGTGACCGCTGCACCCAAAACAACGCGTGAGGACATCTTTGGGACGAGCAGTTTAAGTGGCTCGGTCGCAACCGGAAGTGACCCCTTTCACACCACTGATGTCACTGCCACTAAGCCTGTGGTGAGTGATGGTCACGACCTATTTGATACAAGTGATGCAGCTGACCCTGCAGCAGCCGTCACCAACAGCTTCGGCAGTATCTGTGTTCCTGCCGGGTCGGCGAGTGACGACCCATTCCAAACTAGCAGTACTGCTTTTTCGGCCTTGGCAGGTGGCAACGGCTTGTTCGACTCGAGCGACATTCTGTCTGCGACAGGAGCGGCAAGCGGTGATCCCTTCAGTGCTAGCAACATTGATGCCACTGTTCACCCATCCGGTGCAGACCCGTTTGACACCAGTAACATTCAACTCGAGCCTGCAAAAAATGCTGTCCCCTTCACAGACACTGCCGCCTTCGAAGCATTTGCAGCGAAGTTTGAGCAAGCCATCGAAAAGTTTGAAGATGCCACCCTGGCTCCTGCATTTGAGGAGCTTGACCAGCAGTCGGCACAGGAAGACGGCGATGACGCAGGCTTCGACAGCATGGACATTTTTGATCCTTTTGCGGCCAAGGCACCGCCTCGTCCCAAGGCATCTCCAAGAGCTCCCGTCAAGGAAGCCTCTCAAGACTCGTTTGACGATGATGATGCCGGGCCAGACCTGTCATGTTGTCATCCGGCCCAAAATGCGGGAGGCTGCTGCACCGGACGCGATCAGCCTCGAGCCGCCGCCCAAGCTGCAGCCGCCGCCGAAGTCGCCCGTGCGGTCCCGGTTTAATCCTTTCGACCGAGGCGCAGCGATCCGTGATGAGCCGGTGGTCGACTGAAGTGGGGCCCACGCCGGCATTGGGTGAGGCGGCGGCCATGCAGCGTGAGTCGGCAGAGAGCCCATCGACGCCTCTGTTCGACGAGGACACATCTCAGCCACTCGAGGAGTTTAGGCCCAAGTTTGAGGGTGACGGCTGGGAGATGATGTTGCGGCATCCAAACAAGAAAAAGATCACGGGAAACCGCTACTGGAAGAAAGTGTTTGTGCGCATGACAGGAGCAGAATATCCTGTACTTGCATAACAGCAGGGAGGACGCCGACCCTTTTCAGGAGGTTCCACTCCAGGTGAGCGATCAGTGAGAATTTCGACGTACATTTCTTGTTTGTGTTTTTCTGATGAACATTACTTATCAGCTAATAGTAGTAACTAATTGCTCTTTACAAGATTAACTAACATAATGAACTTTATAAATCTCTACAGAATCAATAAGTGATAAATAAGTAATGATTAAATAATTACCAAATTAAAGTTATTAAGAAATCTTCTTTAATCTGTTTGCATGTGTGGATGGAAATAGTGGTCTACTTTTCGTAATATCTGGAAGTATTAGTGGCTTTGCTGGAGTGCTCTGTAGTTACCCACCTTACTTGGCTTGTATGCCAGATCTTGATTACAGCTGCTTGCACGTCGCAGGTGTCTTTCTCTACAAGTTACAACCTTTGTGAGCATAGGTTCTTGCCCTACAGTGAGGTAGTTTGTGGCTCATTGCTTGGCGTGGATTGGTTCTTCGCGATCACTACATTGCGATAACATTCTGACACACTTGCATACTTACAGGAGTTTACCTGTTATGCACTGTCGCCCCGCCACGGTGGTCTAGTGGCTAAGGTACTCGGCTGCTGACCCGCAGGTCGCGGGATCAAATCCCGGCTGTGGCGGCTGCATTTCCGATGGAGGCGGAAATGTTGTAGGCCCGTGTAATCAGATTTGGGGGCACGTTAAAGAAACCCAGGTGGTCAAAATTTCCGGAGCCCTCCACTACGGTGTCTCTTATAATCATATGGTGGTTTTGCGACGTTAAACCCCACAAATCAATTGGTATGCACTGTTAACACTCTCCACACACCAGAGCGACACAACATGTATACAATATTTTACTTTGATTTTAAAGTTTTCATCGCTGAGCACCAGCAAACCAGCCCCACCGCAATCTGCGTTATCCCGACGAGTCAACTCAGTTCCACTGAGTTTGCGAACCCTGCGTCTTGCTCACACGATAAGTTGCAGAAATCGCTGCTCGGATCATTGGAGGACAATTTGCTCAACATTGTTTTATGTACACCAAGAGTAAATGACAGATCTGCCTCTAGCATGTTGAGAGTTACTCACTCTCCATGACATAATGACTGCCATGACAGGTCACTGAGAAGCCGCCCTCTCTGCATCGAAACCGAAAGTGTTTTTTTTTTTTAAGGTAGTGATGTTACTTATTTGATGCATCGCCAGGCACCATGACACTCTTTTTAGGGTTCTCAACACCAGTGTTTTTATTTAGTGTGGCAATTGGAGAATATATAATGTTCGTGTGAGTACCCCTTTTAGGCACTCATGCTTTCTTGGATCTGAACGCTCATCTTGAACAAAGGATCCTAACATTTTGACGGGACGCAACTTGATACCGCATACTTCACAGAATGAATGAATGACCCTTTGTAAGCCCAATCATTTTAAGCACAACCTATGAAAGACGGTCAGTTATTATGTCAAATTTACACATTTTGCTAAGGCATTCAATATTTGTTGCAACAAAAATAGTGTCGTAATATACTTTGAACTATGTGTTTTTATGTACTTAATCTTAATTAATGTGTAATTAAAACATAATTATCTTCAAGTCCTTCATGTTCTGTTTTTGTATATATATATAATCAAAAGTCAGGCTATAACAGGGTACAATTTTTAATTTCCAGTTATATTCATTCTGAATAAAGAAAAATTATACATTTTACATGGCTCGTAGACGGTGCATGTTCAATGGCTTGTCAAACATGTCACTGGTTTCAGCAGATTTATCATACTTACAGTACACTGCCTGTAGGTTTTAAAATTAATCTGCAGAAAACGAAAGTAATGTGCAACAACCTCAGACGAGAACAGCGCTTCGAGATAGGTAGCATTGCACTGGGAGTTGTAAAAGAGTGCGTATACTTAGGACAGGTAGCAACGGCGCAGCCGAACCAGGAGATTGAAGTAACTATAAAAATAAGAATGGGATAGAGCACAATTGGCAAGCACTCTAAAATCGTGACTGGTAGATTGCCACTATCCTTCAAAAGGAAGGTATACAACAGCTGCATCCTGCTGGTACTTGCCTGCGGAGCGGAAACCTGGAGGCTTACAAAGAGGGTTCAGCTGAAATTGGGGATGACGCAGTGAGCTATGGAAAGGAAAATGATAGGTGTAACCTTAAGAGACAAGAAGAGAGCAGAGTGGGTCAGGGAACAAACCGGGAAAGGATATCAGTAGTTAAAATCAAGAAAAAGAAACAGACAATGGGCTGGGCACGTAGCGCGTAGGCAGGATAACTGCTGGTCAATAAAGGTAACTGACTGGATTCTCAGAGAAGGCAAGCGGGTGAAGGCAAGACAGGAAGTTAGGTGTGCAGGTCAGATTAGGAAGTTTTCGGGTATAATGTGACAGCAGCAAGCACAGGACGGAGTTGACTGGCGGAACATGGGAGAGGTCTTTGTCCTGCAGTGGACGTAAGTCAGGCTGATGACAGTATACTGCAAAATTAAGTAAAATGAATATAAATTTATTACCTAGGAGGTTAAAGTCATCCAAACCTCAATGTATCTTGCCCTTTGTGGCTAGTTAACAAGACTAGCTGAAACATTTTGTGTGCAGAGTTGTATACAGTGTTCCTAAAAAGAACTAAAGAACAAAGCAATTTCAAGCATCTGTGCTGTAGGCTCGTGTGCTCAGATTTAAGTGCATGTTAAAAACCCCAGGTGGTCGAAATTTCCGGAGCCCTCCACTACGGTGTCTCTCATAATCATATGGTGGTTTTGCGATGTTAAAACCCATATATAAATCAATTTCAAGCATCTGTTGAAGCAACTCTGAATTACATAAGTTACCACTTTCAATTGCAGGACTGTTTTGTAGTCGCTCAAACTGCCACTCGATGCCGACAAGAGTGTTGCTGTTTTGCTCAAGCAGGCTGTTTCATCGCACCATAGCACTACCCGAGAGCTCGTTTGGTTCTTTTGTAGCATGATCTCCATCAATGGAGCTTGGCAGATGGGCTTTTGTGTTACTAACCTGTAGGTTGTCTTGGATTCACGGCTGTTGCTCTGTGGGGGGCGAAAGGCGAGAGCTCCCGCCTTCTTTTTCAGGCATGTGTGCTTAAAAGGACACTTAAGAGGAACAGTGACTTGGTTTAGATTGACAAACTACACTAAGAACTCTTATGCCACATGTTTCACTATGACAGGTTCATTATTAGCGGAGAAAACTAAGGTTGATGTTTCTGTTTTTAAATTTGGCACTGAAACCTGCGTGCATGACGTTATAAATTTCAATATGTAATTTTGGTATTTTCACGACATTGGCTCAATGACATTTTTTGAAACGGTGTATGCTATGTCTATGGCACCCAGAGATAACAATGTACCTAATTTTTATGGATTGGAAGTTATGTATGACCCACTAGACACCTTTCAAATTTCTTACATCACAGTGTTTGATGCAGTAATCTGAAGGTGGCATCGCCACGTGCATATATATATATATTTTTTTTTTCCGTACATTTCCTCATTTACTAAGTGTCGCCTTGCAGTATGAGTGGTGTTTTCGAGATTGTGAAACTATACTTTACTAATACGCAAAAAATTGTTTTACTCTTCTGTGACCCTTTAACTTGTCTGTGTCTAAAAATGTGACAGTACCATTGATCTCAGATCTAGTCTCAAAGCCATGTACCTGGGTTTGTTGCTTCACAAAGAAGCCCAGGTAGTCGAATCGAATCTGGAATACCACTCTGTGAAATGTGTCATAAATTTGTTGTGGTTTCGACTTGCAACACCCCAGAGTTTTCGTTTGTTGCACTATAAGAACCTTGTCATTTTTTATGAGGTGGAACTTGTATCATAGAGGATAAGATCGTTTTGGCATTTAAGTATGAGGCCATATAAGTTCATCTGCAAGTATTGTATGGAGTACGCTCCTTCATTTCGATAACAAATAAAATGGTGCAGTTACAGTTGAATGTGGCTTGGATATTAGAAAACATGCTTGCTGTGGTATCTTAGTGGCCATTGCACGTGTTTCAGCCCAGTCATGTGTTTTCCATCTCTTGAGGCTGCTTGTGTATGGCGGGAAAACACAAAAATGCCTGTGCACGATGTATTGGGTCTTTGACAACATCAGCTCATAACATTTAGCTCGTAACTACAGATGAAGTGACCTCATACTATGTATTTTTCCACTCTCTGGATGAAAAAATAGATTGTCAAGGGGTGTTTTTAGAGAGATGTGGGCCGTCCGAAGCGAGTTTATTTTCCAGTCAACCAAATAAAATATCTCACACCATACAAAAGTTGAGCCATCACTGTTCAGTTAGTAAAAAAAAAAAAAAACCGTGAGGGGTTGGGAAACGCTCAGCAGCTAGTATTAATCATCTACAATTCCATGCTTCAAAATGCTGCATAATAAGATCTAGATGTTGCTGCATGAAAGCATATAAGATTAATTAATTGTACGGGAAATAATGGTAACTACAAATTTAAAAAAGTATTTTTTTTTTCATTTGTCCTAGCATTCTTGTTGAATTCGTTGGCATCAGTGACTGTTCCCGCATGACATCTTCTGATTTGCTTAGTGATGTTTGAAAACTAGACTAAGCTCTTTAGATTCATAAATCCTTGTGTTGTCATCTTGTACATTTTGAATCAAGCATAGAGCACCAGAAATGTTCTTGTGTTACTTCAGTCTTCCCGATCCATTATGAACATAAATTAGTTTTCACGATAATAAGGATGAGGTAAATTTCATTGACTTTTGTTAGATAAATGGCTTGTTATGTCATGATTCAATTTCAATGTAATTTGCATAAAAATCAGTCTTAAATCTCTCTGATTTCTTCAGTGCATTGGCAGGCTTTCCCCCATATTCCAAAGTACATCTAGACTTGAAGCCTATACTTTACTTGATCAAGGTATTAAGAAAAAAATGTGGTTGATCCTTTTTTTTTTTTTAGAAATCGGCATAGCACAAAAGTAAAACGTGACCTCACAGGGGCAATTGAGCGTTGATTGTGCATTGTTTTGCCACAAAGGCGAAGGAATGAATGCTACAGCAACGAAGTGCAATGTCACGCAAAGAACGGCAAGCAGCTCGAAACTTACAGCGCACACCTCAAGAAGAAGCACGCTCGAAATGAGATGAGCACACACAAGACAAGCGCAGACAAACAACTGTCGTAGCACGATACTTAAGGCACGCTGCTCAAACAGAAAAAGCAGAAAGAAAGACTCATGAAATCAATGCATATGTATACATAGGACGAGCGCAAACAACTGTCGCAGTTCCTACTTCTTCGTGTGTGAGCAGCGTGCTCCTTCCGTAAAGCGGCAGCAAGCGAAGTGACCTTCGAGCTCTACTGAATCACGAGTTTGATAGGTGCGCGCGTGAAAGAGACCACGCTTCGTGGAGATGGCGGTTACTGAAACGCGAGAGGCAACGGCCTTTAGAGCGCGCCCAACGTGAGCTTGTCGCGCCATCTCGCTACTGATGACGAAAAGCGCGCTGAAGTTGCGAAGCTTGGAGGACTGTCAAACGGTGTATGGTGTATATAAATGGCTTGCCGTTACCAAGATGGAGAAGGTTTGCTCCATGGTGTAGTGGTTAGCATAAAGTGATGGTTCGGCGCCCTTCTGCACAACTATTTCTTCTCATTTTTTTCTTTGCAATCTGTTAGTGTACATTTTACAACTTCATATTCGTGACTGAAATACGCCCTGGCATAAAACACTTTCGTGTTAATAACATCCAGCGAGAACTTGCTAAAGATGCTGGGTGCATTCCTTTCATGCATTTTCACACAGGTCATCTGTGTGAAAAACATAGCTGGTCATAAACAGGTCATAGTTATGACAATGTCAGCCATTTGGGTCAATTCGCAAGTTGGAAGGTTGAGATGCATTTCTGGATGCAGTGGTACATACTACCACTAAACTTGGTAACAACTTATAAAATTCAAACTCTGCCAACAGAGTCATGGTGTGCCTGCTTTTCACCTGTCAAAGATGGTCATGCTAGCCGGTTTTCGCTTGAACTGTAAGGACTTGTTCTCGCCTAATGCAAAGACTATGCGTACTAAGAGATGAAGGCTCTTTGTTGGCTCATAAAACATTGTTTGGCCGACCCTGGATGCCAGAATTTTCGACAGAATACGTGAGGACATTCATGTTTACGACATAAAACCAGCAACACAAACGTGCGTGGGAAGGTCAGCTATCTCAAATACTTTGAGGCGTACTTGATCTACTGCAAATGGTCTAGCGCTATTTTGATGGAGCATTTAGGTGAATTTTTTTGTGGGAAGGTGCAGCGATGGCCATAGGTTGGCGATCTCAGTGTTGAGTCAACTCACACGGACTCAAATCAAGCTGCGAGTTTGAGTGAGTCCGGGTAAGTAATATTGTCTCAAGTCTGAGTCCGAGTGGTTCCGGATTGTAGAAAATTTTCATTAATTTGAGTCCAAGTGAGTTCGGCTCAGGGAAAATTTTGGCGAGTCTGAGTGAGTTCTATTTTTTTTTTTTTTGACAACCTAAGGCGATGGTTGTGGGCAAACCTGATATTCTTTGGGAGGGGTTACCGAGTATAGCTTTTCGGAGGTGCCTCTTCTGCATCTGTTGTGCAAAACAAATGGCTGGTGCACTGCAGGCCTGCTACTCATTGTCCGAGATGGGTGCCCAGCAGTTTGACGCCTATGGCAAAATCTTCACGGTGAAGCTGCAGTACGTGTTCTACAGGGAGCGGGTGGGTGTGCGTCCGGGCCAGATCTCCAAGGTGATGCAGGGCCAGATCACGAGCGTAGGCCAGTTTGCCAAGCTGGGCCTGCCCCTGGAGCATGCACCCCAGGTCTCGCAGCTCCTCAAGTTGGGCACCCAGAGCTGCGAAGACCTCAAGAGCTTCATTCAGGTACGTGGCAACACTTCGAAAGTCTTTTGTATGAGGAACAGTGTACTAGTAGAAACTCAATTCTTCTAAGGGGCACATGGCTAGCTGTGATATTTTGCTTCGTTGTACGACCAAAACTGTTGAAACCAAGAGCCTTGTCACACTAGCGCTCGGAAGGCCTTCAAACCGATAGTTTACTGAGTCAATCAATGGTCAAGGACAGGCCACTGCTTGGCACGCTTTGAAGGCCATCGAGTCCATTAGTCTGTTGAGTGAACAAAGCGCACTGCAACTCTACCAAAGCACTTCTACAGCCATCAAGCAATGCAAAAGAAAACAGTGTGAACATGCCTTGCACACATTAGGTGTGAAACATGGCATTAAACAGACTGAGTCTGTCCACAAGTTTTCCTGTGTTAGCATTATACCGGATACTGAAGCCATAAACATGAGAGGCTGGATATGTGGTGTCATTTGGTGGGGCACAGAGGAATCGGGCAACCATAGGGTCAGTTATCACATCAGCTTGGAGCATTTTACTTCTCTGCGAGTGTAAATTTTTGGCAGTAGCATAATACTGTATGAGTTGCCTTGTTAAACTATTTTTCCTCAAGGGTACTAGGCAGAAACAAGCATGTCCGTAATTGTGGTTGCACGAAGTGTCACTAGATGTTGATACCATAATCCTGTAACTTGGTATTTTGTAAACATTTCTGCCTCTAAATAAATACCAGGCAAGCTAAAATCCTCTATTACATATCCAACACTGTCACTGATGCTACCTATGCAGTACTAAAACTTGCTTATGTCATTCATTGTAAAACCACAGTGACCCATGATGGTATGACTGGGGCAGTTGTACTGCCAACTTGCCAAAGACTAACAGTGACATAAGCGATGATGTTGCAGAGCTGTCTCGGACTACGTACGGTCGTAGCGCTCGCTCGACGTGGCTTTGTGCCGTGACTAACAGGCAATGGTAATGACTACATTTTGCCTCTGCCATCCATGGAGCCACCTAATGCTATGCAGGTCGTGGAGGATGCCTTGTTCCGGCTACAGATCCACCGAGATCGAGCGCTCACGTACAAGACGGAAGAGATCCAGGTGACAGTGCAGGACGAGTTCATTGTCGAGCAGGACAAGACGGGACACGTTTGCCAACAGAAAGCCCGCGTACGAGTCTTCTTTCATCGCATTTGTTAGTGGTAAGTATGCCATTTATTTTATGTGCAACCTCTTAGGAAGGGAGGAGATTTACAGGGAGAGCGAGAATAGAAAAAGGCAGGGAGGTTGACAAGATGAAGGTCCGATTCGCTACACTACGCTGTAGGTTAGAAAACGGGGGCTAGAAAAAGAGCGAGCTTTGAAGAGCAGCACCGTACGTGCATAGGAATACAATCGGCACGTGTATGTCTGAAGTTGCAAAATGCTTGTTGCTTCTTCGTTTTGGCTGGTTTGTTAAACAGCCAGGCATAGAGTACCTTGCTTTTTGGAGGGGGGAAGAGGGGACATACCAAACAATGTTTAGCTGTGAAGAGTCAATGATACTTCCCCCAGTATACCAGCTGTGAAACTGTTCGAATACCGGGACAGGTTCCACTGGACAAAGTCTGCATCGATTAACAAACTGGGCCCAATGATAGATACCACTCCTTATTGCTGCAGTGTTCATACACCATTGCATGAGTTACTGCTGGGAGAATCGGGAATTATTTCATGAAAAACCGTAGAATTCTGTCATCTGCCAATTGTAAATCGCAGATGTAAAAGTGCTGCTTGCTTCACCAGTGTGGCAGCACACGTGGTAGTATACACTACAAAACGCAAGAAATTGCCATTGATTCATTTATTTCTCTGTTGACAAGTGCTGCCGAATCAGTAGATTTTTTCTAATGTCGTCACCAAAATTTGGTGCACATAGCCTAAGGAGAGTTCGCAACTTGTCAAGTCGGTTGATTTTGTCTCCATTCGCGACTAAAATTCGGTGCACGTAGCCTAAGCAGAGTTCGCAACTTGTATAACTGAAGAACTTTGGAGTCAACACCATAAAACGTCTTGTAGGCAGTTGATAATCATGAAGTTTTTACAGAATACATATATGAAAGTTGTAAACTCTTATGAACCGTTCATAGAATTGCATAGGAGTTTTGCAAAAAATGTTTTGCAGTAGAATTAAATGTAAGGAGCAAAGTTTTTATACAGCAGGTTGAAAAGTACATGATAGTCTCTAAATTGGTAAACAATAGACCGAATTAAGTGCCTCATTTACGCATTGCTTCTAGCAACTGCTACCTTGTTATTTATTACGCTTATTCATCATTGTCATTATTATGAACATGGTAGCACCTACATCTGCCCAAGTAGCCCAGCCCACAAGTTAGCTGAACCTGCCTATATATTTGAAGATTTCTTGTAGTGCCCATTGTTGTCTGCTTTGCCTTTTTTGTTAGTTTTATTTTGCACCTTGAATACCACTTTGTTATGCTGCTCTCATTTTTCTCTTCTACTTCTATGGCACTTTCAATTCCTTGTTAACTATGTTGTCATCATTATTTACCATTTGGCCTCACTTTGTTCTGCGTACTATGTACACGGTCTTGTGGATTGTTAGGTTCTGTAACCGTGGGCATTTTGCATACTGGTTGGACCGGAAAAACTATACAGTACAATAACACTCGTCTGTTCACAGATACTCGCTGGTCATAGCGCTTGACTGCTCTGTGCACTAGTAGCCCATGTGGATTGTTAGGTTCCACGACTATTAATGTCTTTCACAAAAGTGGGATGTCTACAGTTACGGAAACTAACGCGCCACGTTACCAACTACGTTGTACTATACGAGTCATGGTCAGGTTAGGATGACAAACAGGACAGCAAGGATTTGAGAGTAGAGGAACACTTGTGTTTGTCGACTCTCTATTTCTCGTCGTTGCCGCATCCGTATTTTCGATTGAAGCGAAAACGCTTCATGCCATTGTAATTTGATTCAGGTGCATGTTGGAGAACTTCAGGTGTCAAACTTTTGTAGCCTTCTAGCACGACTTCCCCCCGCAATCATATAATGGTTTCGGGACAGAAAATGACGACAGTAATTTCTGTCGTTTCACTTTTGTGCATAGCACATATAATTGTTAGTCAATGAAAAAGAAAAAGAGCAGGAAGGGGAAGTTGGCAGCTTGTGATAGAAAATTTAACAAGGGATGTGTGCTGGAGGCTGAGCCGACGTTTCGACAAGCCTTCTGCAAGGCTGCTACCGTCACAATGCTGAAGAAGACAAGCTCACTTGTCAAAATGTAGGCTTCAGCACGCAACCCGTTCACATAGTACATTCTGAGGTGAAGGCTATGAAAACAACGGCATCTTTACGCCTTTGTGTGCCCCTTGTCTGAGCAGGCCTGGTGTTTTTTTTTTTTTTTGCCTGAGGATATGTATAATTAGGGTATGCCAATAACTATATCAGATCTAAACTTACACCTGCTTATTACATTCACTAACCACCTGGCCAAAAAGCGTAGAGGTTTTCACGCCCGCTTTGAACAACACTTGTGTGACCAGGGATGCCAGACATCGAGGTGGGCATCAATGACCTGACCCGGCAGGGCAAGGAAGTTGTGGGTCGCTACGACATCATGCCCGTCGTCACCGAGGAGTGGATCCGCCTGGAAAACTGCGAGTTCCACTCGTGCGTCCTCCAGGAGGAGTTTGAGAACAACCGCATCATCAAGTGAGTTCAGTGCAGCTGTTTTCCGTGACGCGTAGTGTAGCATGTTACACGCATGCCCTGTAATACATGCCAGGGTGGCACAGTGCCTTGTGCGTGCTTTTGAAAAGTGTCATTGCATGCCGCATGTCATTTGCCTCCCCCTCAGCCAGCGGCGAAAGTTCTAGCACAGCCTGGCTAACTGTATGAGTTGAACGTGTATCAATCAGTATTCAAGCTCCATCACGTCCGCTTTACTCTAAATTTTTGTCTGTCCAAATATGCCTTTAAAGGAACACTAAGGGCAAACATTTAGTCGACGTTGTTTGCTGGAATAGCGTTCCAGAAACATTGTAGTGCTACTTTTGTGCCAAGGAAGTATTTTGAAATAAAACTACATTTTAGTGGTTGGCATCGCGTTAGCTCACTTCAAATCACCCACGTAAAAGTGGTCTTTTAGACGTCACCGTTTTCGTACCCAACATTGCCCACCTTTACTACGTAGCCACCTATGCCAGTACAGTAGCAGCAGAGCGAAAGTAGGGGGAGCCACAGTAGCATAGAACAACTTTCTGCAATCTCTTAGCCCATGCCTCTGCTTGCTTAGTTCAACTGGGGCCCTGTTAGATGACCCCATCTATCCAGCCTAACCAGCTAAAAACCGAACTTTTGAAGCACTCGCACCATTCCCCATAGCTATGCGAGGCAGTCCTTTCTTTCTCTGATTCAAACAGAAACGAACAAGCAGAATCGTAGTACATATCTTATGGACACACGGAAAGTTCATTTTTAGTTGCAGCTAGTTTGATTACTAGTGATTAATTGTAGTCAGACGCTCTCACTTCATCAGGATCATTTTGCAAATGTCCCACTCGTGACTGTACGTCATGTGATACATTTAGCTTAATTTCTTCGTAAGTAAGTCACTGCTGTTGATAATAGTGCAATTTTAGAAGTCTTACATCGAGCTTTCACTCGGACATAAATTGCTATTTGCCTTTAGTGTTCTTACTACTTCAACTGACCTGCCTGTCGTTGTTCGAGTACAACTTTTACAATAAATTTCAGAAAGGTGTCTGAAGGGCCAGTTTACACATGATACTGCAAGGAAAAAGTGCAAAAATAGCACCAAGTTGAAAGAACAGGGCTTCAGTTCTTGTATTGTTTGTTCCTTTGTATACCATATAGTATACCATACATACATATATGGTGTATGCATTGTGGCGAAGCCTTGGAATGCTATATTGGGTATTCGTCTTTGATAGGATATCGTATATGATGTCTACGCATACAACGTATATGTATGACACATATTTGTATTCTGTGTTATACACTAGACTCCGACCCAATGAGTGGCACTCATGTTAAACAGAACATATTTTTCTGGTTCCTGTTGATTTCGTTTAATCAGACCGAATTTTATTATAAAGTGGGTTCATTGATAATTGTGTTTGAACTAGTTAACCAGAATTTTAGTTTTCCGAGCTTGAATTAGCGAGTTGACTGTGGTTCACTGCACTTGTGTATGACCTCGGTTTTTTGGAGTGCATGATCTTAACGGCAACTTTCGAAAACTCCACTACCAATGCAGGTTGCACCCTCCCGATGCCTGCCTCTTCGAAATGATGCGGTTTCGGATACGACCGCCAAAAGCCCGGGAGCTGCCATTGCAGGTAAGGGTCTACACAGCCTAGCTCCGTTAAAAGAGACAATAACGAGAAAAGCAGTTAATCTCATATTAGTACACTATCGTTCCGCACTTTGTGAATATGGCACTCTTGCTGGGGAAAAACATTTGGTAAGGCAGAAAATGCACAAAAACAAAAATGAGACATGGGACTTCACACAACCTTGAGGTTCTCGCAAGGGCTTGCCATGACATCATAGGCAGTGCCATCTTCTCGGACCTACGTAATTTTTTATCTAAGAATCAATTGCATTATGTTCAAAGAAAGCTGCACACGCGAAATTGAAAGTTTGAGGCTATATTATACGAAGGCAGCCAAATGAAGAAAGGAGTCAAAATTTGTGACATCAAGCTGACATTAAGGTGCCACGATTTTCATGCGAAATTCGAAAGCACAACCTTCATTTTCTTTTATAGTAATGGAGCTACTGTCATAAAGGTAATGACGATAGAGTCCGAAAAAATTTAACTTGTATGTCTAGACTGATTTAGTGTTTCTCTTTAGTGTTCCCTTAAAGGCGCCCTGAAACACTTTTTTGAGTAACCATGGAATGAATTCACTGGAAAAGCGTATTACCTCACAGATTGAACGCCGCAAAAATTTTAGAAATCCGTCTAATACGAGCGGAGTTACACAGATTTGTCACATGCTGCAATCGCATTCTCTCTTCTCTCGCTTCGACGAAAGCCCTGGAAGCTAAGCAGGGAGGGATGGGAGGGGCAAACAAAAAACGTCATGTGCGCCTTATGACCTTGAGCACTTCTTTCTTTTTTTTTTCCTCTTCAAATGCGCGGCTGTTTTAGTGCAGTCACACGCGCATGCGCGGACAAGTGATGGCTATTCGCCGCGACCTCTGTAACAACCGAGCGAGCTATGTTCAAATCAGCCAATGGCTAATAGATGGTCTTACTGGGCTTATTTTCCGTGATTTGTCGAGTTATTTTTAGCTGACTGTGATAATTTATTGTGAATTTCAGGCCGCGTGCTGCGCTGTAATATTTGGCTCGTGTGTTGTCGGGAGCCTCTACTACCGATCGGCAGCGTTTTTTGACCATGCTCGAAAAGTGTTGCAGGGCCTCTTTAACATAGAGATCATATATTGTAGGGCATTTACCAGCTATTGTGTCTAGAAAACGTCATAATTTCGTATCAATGGTTGCCGTGATGGTGGTTTGCACTTGGCTGTCAATAGAAGGCTTTCTGCTGTTGCATTTACCGAACCTCAGTCTGTGCTGTTTGAGCATCACCGCGATAACATGAATACTACTTCTCCCAACGGTTTAGTAAGTTGCTGCTGTGACACAGTTCTGTAGCACCCAGATGACTTTTGAGTATTACGTTTGGTGAGTTTGTGCAAATTTTTAACGAAGTATCTCTGGCTGAAACTGACAATGAGGAAAAATTACGCCATCTCCTGCTAAAGGCAACCGTGTGTAGATGCGGAGCAGCGGGTGCCAAAGCTTACACTGGCGGCAGCGTCGACGCTGGTGCTCGTCACAACGCTGCGCAGGAGAGACACCTGGGGTGGCGTAAAGCACGCAGCGATGGACCAGTCAGTGTTTTCTACTGAAACATGCCGGCCGCTGCTAATGGGCAATAAGAGATGGATGACTCCAGTTAGACGCAGAGACCTGCAGTCCGCTTTTAGTTAATGCGCATGCTGCGAGTTTTATTGTTTGACAAAGTACTAGAGAAATCTCCGACCGGCACTACCTTGAAGGTTAAGATTCAGTGCCTATGTATACAGGGCGGCCAGTGAACTGTTATGCAGCACGAGCAGTCGGTTTTTTCAATCAAGAAACTCGCTAGCAGACACTGCCTGCGTCGGTGTTGAGAGGGGAGAAGTGAAGGAGAATAGAGAAAGGGAGGGTATCGCGGATGCTGCCGAATAAAGCTCGCTCATAAGGTGCTTTGCGTCTAAAAACAAAAGACTGGACATGATGCCAGAAGGGGGATGGTCGCATCTGTATTCAGTCAGTCTCTCTTTGCAAGAGTGCACGCCTATTTTCAGACAGTGCTGTGTTGCAGTTTTGCATCGTGCACATGTTTGGAAATATGTATATTAGATGATGTGCAAAAAATAAACTATACGAGTTTGGTGTCCTATCCTGTTTTCTGTCCTCTCTTTCCCCATTCTCAGTTTCAGCCACAAATTTTTCGTTAACCCAGACGATGAGCAGTTGTAGTACGCAGTGCAACAAGTGCACAGTGAGAAATCGCCCAACCACACTGAGCTTGGCCTCATCTGAAGCTGTATTCCAGTCCACATGGCTTGTCTTTCCCCTCTTTTATCCTGGCAATGTTCATTGTCACGTACAGAGGTCTAAAGAGCGGTGAAAACCTTAGCGACGAGACACTCTTGTAGCAAATTCCTTTTTTCTTAGTTTCTTTAAGGGACACTAAAGAGCAAAACACTTTTTTGCATATTAGCAAAGTACAATTTCACAATCCCAAAAACACCACTCTTACCGCGACACAACACTTTGTAAGCGAGAAAATGTGCGAAAAGAATCCGTGGGTGGAGACGCCACCTTGAGAGTCCCTCAGCAAGCACTGTGACGTCATAAATTTTTGAAGGCATCTACTGGGTTCTAGGTAATAGCTTCTAATCGATAAAATTGAAGTTCATTGTAATCTGTGGGTGCCATAGACTTAGCATAAGAAGTCTCAGAAAATTTCATTCAGCCAAAGTCGTAAAAGTACAAAAATACCTTGTGCAATTTCTTACGTCACACGCGGAGTTTACTGCGCGAAATTTAAAGTGAAACTTCAGCCTTAATTTTCTCTGATAATAATGAACTTATGACAGTGAAACTTGTGACATTACAGTTTTCAGAGTGCATTTTGTCAATCTGAAACAACTCAGTGTCTCTCTTTAGTGTCCCTTTAACCGTTCTTGTTACGCTTTGCTGCGTGTTGAAACGTGCAATACCTGTGCTGTTCCACACAGCTGAAGGTTGTGATGCGGGTGTCGCCGAGGCACGTGGAACTTCGTGCGGATGTCCTGGTGCCTGGCTACCACAGCCGCAAGCACGGCCAGGTGCCCTGCGAGGATGTGCAAATCCGCTTCCCGATTCCCGAGTGCTGGGTCTACCTTTTCAGGGTGGAGAAGCACTTCCGATACGGTGCCCTGAAGTCAGCTGCCAGGAGGCCCGGAAAGATAAAGGTGCCTTTTTATCGTTCCTTTCCTAGCAGGTATTTATGTTCATCTTGAACTTATATATAAATAAAGGTGCGAAAAACTGACACGGACTAAAAAAAGTAGAAGGGACACGACGTCCTCGCACACTCTTCAACTTGGCAGACAGTATGCGAAGAATTTGTGAACTCTGACGTGGGCAACGAGGTCTTGCTGGCCTGAAGTTAGTGAAGCTAGTTTCTGATGTAATTTGTATAGTGAACTGTGTCGAACTGTTTTACGATATTTGAAATGTTTGTTGTGACGTGAAATGTTGTTGTGAAGTTTGAACTAGTCCTGAACACATTGTTTTAGATCCGAGATGTCAGATTGGTCGCGAAGTTCACAACCCACGCTCTGTTCTTCTCTGTGCAGGGCTTGGAACGGATCATGGGCACTGCCCAGCCATTGGAGACCAGCCTCATAGAAGTTTCGACGGGGCAAGCCAAATATGAACATGCCCACAAGGCAGTTGTATGGCGCATTCCTCGGTTGCCCAAGGAGGGTCAAGGTGATGACATTTGATTTGTACCCATTTATTAAGTCTATCAGCTTTATTTAACTGTCTCACTCCCTTTTTCTTGTTTCTAATGCTTAATCACTTCATTATCACTAAAAAACATGGGCTAATAGTGATGTCACGAACCCTTCAACATAAGTACTACAGTTAGGCTAAACAAAGGAGTGTCCAAAAGCAATATTTGGTAAGCTGCTTGAGAAAGCGAAGCATAGATATAGGAATTGCACGTAACTTGTTTTGCTACCTCTTGGGCTTCAATTCATGCTGGTGGTGACACCTTGTTACCTTCACGCTTTCTGCAAAGTTAGGGGTTGTTGTCTAGGTAAGCATGCTTTGTTTTTTTTTAGATTCAAGTCAGTATTATTTGAAACCATCTGGCAGACTTGCAGCTTGTAACAACAGCTTAACAGTGTATCGTGTCAGGCTACTGTAACGCCACTGTAAGGCCTGTGTTTTTGTACGTCAGTGCTTCACATCATTCATTCCCATCACAAACACAAACCAGCTTGCCCACATTACGTTTCTTATCACACTACAGGTGCCTACACAAGCCAACTGTTCCTGCTTCGTCTAGACCTGACCTCTTTCGATCAGATCCCCGCCTCGTTCGAGCAACACGTCTTCGTTGAGTTCACCATGCCGGCGACCAGTGTGTCGCATACCACGGTGCGTTCTATCTCAGTGTCCAACGAGAATCCTCCCGAAAAGTACGTCCGCTACTTGTCCAAACACGAGTACCGGGTGGAAATAGAGCTACAAACGGGGGAAGTGCCCCCGTCAGAGACTGAAATCTCTAGTCTGGCCGCCGTAGCCCAACAGGCCGGCCCATATGAGCCGCCGGCAGCCGCTACCGCCACCGCCGCCGCCACGAGCGACGACTCGGACTGAGTGTGCTGCCGCAGTGCTGCGCATGTGTCGCTGCTCCCTCGGCTGCCCCTCGCGTGTGGGGGCGCAGTGCCCTTATCTAGTCAGCAATGTATGTCAAGTGTTCAGTCTTCTGTGCTACGCACACAAATGATGTGTTCCTGTTGAAAACAAGAAAGAATTTTAAGACCCCGTTTTCTTCTCGTGCATGTATTATTGACACTTCTTTGTTTTGGAGTTTTTTGTTGACTCTGTACACTACCGCTACAACCACTGGCTGCTGTCAACTCTGTGATCGCTTGGTAACATTTGCCACCTCGTTGAGAAACCTGCAGCGGCCGTTAGCTGGTTCACATGCTGCCTACCCGCCACGGGTAGCGGGCCGTTTTGATCGCTTGGCCGAGCCACATTGGCTGCCTGGAAGAAAGGAGATGCCCTCTTCCTGTGCTGTCGACCGTGTCGGCCGCGCAGCTGATGGCGAAACCACTTAACCTGCTGGTCGGGCTCGAAGCCTGGTAGAAGAGAGGATCTTGGTGTCTGCTGTAGGTGATGTGGCACTCTCTGCAAATAAATGCCTCGGCTGTTGCAGCTGGCTATGGAGCGACCAAGTCATATGTTGCATGACTCTGTGTGTATTCATGGCCGGGAGGTGTATGTGCACGTGGTGTGTCTGTATGGGCACCGATCATTGCTGAAGGAAAATAAAGAAGAAACACTTAAGCGCACTTGCTGTAACCTTTTATTGTGTTAATAATTCGTTGAACATTAATGGGAAGAACGATCACAGTAGTTCGAGAGGGTGACTTATCAGGCTGGTTGGCAGCATTCGTGGTTTTCTTGCTCACTTAGCTGTATTTTTACCCACTCAGGCACCGTGATGGCACTTTTGTCTTGTTTTCGGTGCAACTGGTTTTGCATGAACGCCTGACGTACTGAAGACCAGTGTAGTGCAAACAAGGAATTGATTGGACTGTTGGTCTAGAGTCGGTGCTGAAAGACCACTGGCGTAGCCACTAAACTTAGATTTTATGCGCTTTGCTTGCATGCCAGTCATACCATTTTGGGTTTGGTGGGTCTTGTTTCTCTTTTACCTTACACCTAAGCTAACATAAATTTCATCGCCGGTTGTGGCTCACGTGACATGACCAACATGAAGTGTCAGTTTCACTTTTTTTAGTTTCACTCTGGAGGACCTCCTTATAATTAATATAATTTCATTAGTTCTCTAGTCTGTGCAATTGTTAATGCTGCATCAGCTCCACAGCAATAAAGAATCTGTAGCCATTTTTAAAAATTTATTCCGCAAGATCCACGACTGGGAACCATACGTGGCCAAGACCAGGGCAATTGCCAGACGAAGTTGCGGTTCCAAACTAGACATATTTTTCTATTGTTCAATGTCCCTACATTGCTCTAGATGAGTTCAAATGATCTGTATCAAAATACCATGGCCTAGAGTTTCTATTTATGTTTAATTTCTTCTTGAGCAGATCATAGAAGATCATAGAAGAGGTGCTACCTGGAGTGATGCACTGGTTGGCGTTACGATGTCAACAACCGTATGCGCTGCTATCTTCCCCCTGAACCGCCCTGATGAGCCGTAACTACTGCTTAACTAATAAGGGCGTTGCCACGTGCACGAGGGGGGGGGGGGGGGTGCAAAGCCAGCACCATACATTGACATAGCAGGCAGGAGTTGCAATGAACTCTTGCCCGCAGAGACGTTCTTGCAGCGTTGTTTTCGCGCATATACAGGGTGTCTTAAGCTTTGCCAGAGTTTAAAAATTTGCTGGAACACGTAATTACGACGCGACCAAGCGCATGTTGCTCACCGTTACCTGGAGTTAGACTATTTTTTGTGTTCTCAAATATTGTTTAATTAGATCCGTTTAACTAATTAACTATCTTCTAATTGACTAGATTTCAAGAAACAAAGATAGAACGTTTCAACGAGAAAGTTGTAGATTGGTTTGCAAAACGTCCGATTAGGCAGTTTTGAACTTTATATCTGTTAGGTATTAGTGCTTTTCTGCTAGTTACAAATGCCCGCGAAATACAAAAACAAATACCACGCGACAAACCCGCTCGCGCGTCAGTGCGCACAATGATTCTAGTGCTCCCTAACGTTCCGCGTACAAGCGACACGTTTCCCTCGCACCGGTTCATGACAGCGATAAGCAGTCACAGCGGTTTTGTGGCCGATAGCAAAACGTAAAGCCACCACCATCGTTGCGGCCCTGCCGAGACAGCACAATGGGGAAAAATGAATGGTCGTTCGTACGCGGAACGTTGGGGAGCACTAGAATCATTGTGCGCACTGGCACTCGGGCGGTTTCGTCACGTGGTATTTTTTTTTGTATTTCGCGCGCATTTGTAACTAGCGGAAAAACACTAATACCCAAGAGATATAAACTTCTAAACTGTTTAATATGACGTTTTGCAAACAAATATACAACTTTCTCATTGAAATTTTTATCTATCTTCGTTTCTTGAAAGTTAGTTAATTAAACATATCTAATTACTCAATATTTGAGAACGCAAAAAATAGCCCGACTAACTCCAGGCAAGGGTAGGCAACATGCACTTGATCGCGTCGTAATTACGTGTCCCGGAATATTTTCGAACTCGGGCTAAAGTTACGTGAGACATCCTATATACGCAACTTGTTTCTCATCAAAGCTGCCATCGTGGAGTCCCGGTTCCTCTGAGAATCTGCGTCCATGACGTCACGTGCAAGCCATCAAGGGGGGAGAAGGTTCGTCGAAGTATCCCTCCCCCCATTACGCTATTATGCCAACGTATGGGGCTGGCTTTGCCCCCATACATTGTTGTTGAATGATGCGTAATATTCTTAAACGTGTCGATGTTGCGATATGTTGCTCAACATTCAACAATGTCGCACCCTAGATGTAAGGGTGACGTTGCAATTTTATCTCAACGCGACGTTGTCAAATGTTGACAGATGCTGGCTCATATTCGGCTATGTGACTGAAAGATAGCCGCTGTAACTGCGCATATTTCCTGCAAAACCGGTCTTATTTTTCGTGTCATATACAAATTTACAAATGAGTCAGCTACTCGCCCATATTAAAAAAATGGCAGATCCCAAGTACAGTGGAAATCGATGATATGCTAAGCACGAATGATGAAGGTGGATATGTCACTTTAAAATAAGCAGAGCGTTGCAAGGTGAACGCACTTAGTTATGCCGTACATCACTTCCATCCCGTGATTATCATGTTTGCGCCTGGCATTTGTGCTCGTCATTAATTCACGTCACATACCGAATTTGGTATATGTGAAGCTAGCGGAATGACTTCCGCGAGCGCGCTATGAGTGTAGCGTGTAGTCATGTTTTACATGATACATAGCATATGTGACGACAGAAAATAGCGCAAAGAAACGGGGACACAAGACGAGGACACACGGCACAGGCGCTAACTTCCAACATAATCTGACAATTATGATTATGTTGGAAGTTAGCGCCTGTGACGCGTGTGTCCTCGTCTTGTGTCCCCGTTTCTTTGCGCTATTTTCTGTCGTCACAATGCACCAACAAGCCCAAATTTCGACAGTGTTGAACATAGCATATCATGATTATGTTTGGACGTGTCATTTACCTTCGTCGTCTATTCACGTCACGTGGTACCAAATTTAGTGAAACGGTCACGAGCGTGCTATGAGCGTAGCATATATGTAGTTATGTTTTACATGACACGCATATCATGATTATCATGTTTGGACGTGTCGTCGTCCGTTCACGTCCCGTAAAGCTAGCGAAACGGCCGCGAGCGCATCATGAGCGTGGCATGTGTAGTCATGTTCTTATACATGACACGCAGCTCATGATTATCATGTTTGCATCAGTCGATCATATGCATTCGTCATCCATTCACGTCTCATAATACCAAATTTGGTATATGTGAAGCTAGTGAAACGACTGCGAGCGTACCATGAGCGTGGCGTGTAGTCATGACTTGCATGACATGCATGTCATGATTGACACGTTAGGGTTTGTCATTTATGTTTGCCATGCAATATATACCATATATACCAGTATATACAAACTGGTATATACCGCATATACCAGTTTTGCAATATGTCATGTGAATGAAACCACCGCAAGAGTAGCGAGACCATGAAATGTAAACCATGACATTCATGACATGCCACGATTTTCATGTTATGGTCAGTTAATTATGCTCGTCATGTAGTCTTGTTATGGCATACCAATTTCATACAGTCACGTTATGGCATACCAATTTTGGTGCCATTAATTGTCAGATTAATTAATGTAAGATTAAGTCATAGGCGGCTAGATAGACAGATACGGGGCGCTATTCTGGACACTGTCTAATTCCGCCATATTGTCAAATTTCGTAATGCCCGCATTTTAAGCCAATCAGAGAGGTCGTAGCAGCTCACTTGGCCAATTAGCATCAATTAATGGTGGAATCTGACAACATGGCGGAATTCAACAATGTCCAGAATAGCAACCCTGGTCAATGTCGCCGAAGTTTGCTAAGATGAAATGCTTCACACTGCTAGCCGTACCGAGAGTACAGTGTACTACGGTACTAGTACACTCTACTGAGAGCGCACGCGCGCACACGCATCTTCAAAATAGATTTATCAAATACCGTGTTCTAGATATGAACTTGCATAAGTTATCCTACACTTACGCGTTTGTCCTGACGCTAGACGCTAGAAAGCGAAACCAATATCGGAGCCCTTGCTAGTCGGCGCAGTCCTACGGCTATTGACATCGCTCATGGCCGCGCGCGCATTAATCCTGGCTTTTGCGTGCCGCGGAAATTTGTGCGCGCACTTTTCGATCCTTGCGGCGCTCAGCTGGAGACTTCGCGTAGTGGCTTAGAAAACGGTAAGTTCACAAGATCATTTAGTTGTCCCGTCAGTGGTCGCTCTTCCGTGGTTTGCTCGTTTCCCTGCGAGTTCGCCGGCGAAAGACGCAGCGGGTTATGCCGCAGTAGGCGGTTGACGTGGCAAGGTTCCTTTTGGCGTTGCATAAGTGGTTGCCAGACTGGAAGGGTGGTTGTTGTTTAACTGCCGTTAAATTTGGCGGAAAAGTTTTCTCCTGTAGTTGTGGCTTTTTCGTAAGAGTTTGTGCTATCCGCGGTGCACTTCTTGGCTGAAATTTTTCTTCTGTAGTTGTGGCTTCTCCGTAAGAGTTTGGTTTACAACAAATTTATGCAACGCCAAAAGGAACCTTGCCGTTGACATAATTGTCGAACAATAGCTGAGGCTAAATTTCCACTCTGAGCTCGCAAGCTGTTCTCAGTCAAGTGACGACTGTTGCAGCGGCGATCACACCGCGAACGAGTCAGCAGAGCGAGGGGATAATGTCAAGTTTTGTGATCTGCGTGGCGCTTCCCCAATCATACGGCGCGGTCAGATCTTGTCAGATACGGCGCGGTCTCTCAGGCGTATGAGGCTTTTCTTTGTCGTGGCACCAAATCGGGCGCTTCCTCCCTGCCTAACCCCTAACACGTGTTTTATCGCAGCTCTTCATATTCACTCTTTTTGCATTTAATTGCTACCTTGAAAATGTAGGCTATCTGCGTGTGAGGAAGCGCAGTAGGTTTTCGTTGTTATTGTTGATGGCATATGGAAGAAGGAAAACCGATTGATGCGGATAAGCGTGCCAAACTCCGTTTTCTCTGCAAAATACCCTGAAACAGATGGCTTTTCATTGAATTTTCTTTGG